GAGTAGTCACAGTGCGACAGTACATATTGTTTGGAGTTGTTGTTACTACATTTAATTTTCATTGACCTCTTTATCGCGTTCGACGCACGCTTGATTTTATCCACACATTCTCCTTTTTTTCGAGCTAATGATGCTTTCAATTAGACGGGAATAAATTGCCGATATCACTTTCAAACGTTTTTGTATTTATTTTGGTTCTTGTTGCTGACGATCATGTACACCAGGACGAGTTCTGTCCTGAAAGAAGATAGGCATCGCGCAATCATCATGGTCGTGGTAAAAATTAACCCGACCCGCACAGTAGTAAAAATTCTAACGCTAACGCGTTAATCGGCCCCTGAAGGTTTAACGAACAGTCATATGCACATTAGGAAATAATCATTCAATTGTTCACTTCAACAGACTGAGCGTTGACAATTAGAAGAGAGGGAGGTCTTCAAAATTTGATGTTAAGTGTTGTGGCTCATCGTTCTGAAGTCACGACAGTAACAAAACCCAACAGACTACTCCTTGAGCTTTCCCGAGCAATGTCAACTTTTACTCATAGTTAAAATTATCCAAACACATGTCATTTAACCACCTCTAAAGGGCACATGAAAACGCTAGAAAAGGGTTATTAGACGTGGGTTGAACATAAAAGTGATGAGAGTGCATCATTCATTTTATCCAAAAACATGAAGCGAGTTCGTTTGTAAGGGTTGGTACCATTGTTAGAAGCCAAGCCAAGCCCTCTTTACCCAGGATTTTTGTGGCCACGCCCATTTCTAAACAAACTGTGCAGCTTTGATTTTAAATAAGTAGAATTTGTGATTGGAATATCTTACTGCGTCGGTAAAAAGCTTATTCGGTAGCTTAAGAACGGTAAACAATCGGCTCGCTTACATTACCTTGTTTATATTAACACCAACTGCACTAGAAATTAAATATAAGACGCGAAGAATAAGCGGGAATGTCGCACATCATTCAGCTTGGTGTCGCTCTCGACTGGAACGTCATAGGAAACTTTTCAACACATCGTTCGGAAGCTTAATTACCGGTCTTGAATTTTTGTCTCATACGTTTTACTGTTAAGTAAAAAGGTAAGCCGCAGGGATCGACAGAAAGAATGATAGAAGTGCGAACCATTTTTGGCTTAGCAGCATTTTGCCGATTTCCGTGATAATTTTGATGTTTAAATTTAATTTTCTCAAAATTGACCAAACAGATTTTAATGAGGCTATAGTCAAATGAAATCTTATTTTTGGATTGATTTTCTGTTAAAATTTAATCAAAATCTGTATTACAGTGGTGGCTGTAGCCGAAAACTATGGCAGAAAGGCCCCCTTGGGGGGGGGGGGGTGCTAAAAACAAACCGTTAATTCAGCCTCCAATTTCTTCATGGACGGCGCGTTCCAATACATAATATACCTGTTATATGTCCTTTGCCCC